AGAAGGGCCTTTTCCAATGTATCAATCTGCCTCCCTAATTGCAGACTCACAACAAAAACAACTGAACCCCAATTTAAACCGCAACCTCTATGCTCAAATAATAAACTGGGTTAAGTATATCGAAGTAAATTTGTCATCAGTTTTTTTTGTGATAGTAGTCCAAACCAAAAAGTAAACCTAAATGCATGTCATTTCCTTCCAATAGAATGCTGACTGCTTGAGTGCAAGAATTGCTCTGCTTTTGCCTTTGTAATCCCCCTAACACAGTGCCTGGCAAACAGCAGTAGGCACTTAATAAATGCTTGCTGAATTGAATGGTTCCTGGTATTTGGTGACATTTAGAATTGTGCTTTCATGGCACTGATTTGCCTCTGTGTCCTCTTTATTAGCTTCAAATCCTTCAGACATTTTTTCATGGTAGCTCATGTATTCTCTCCACAGACTTTTCTGATTATATCTCTTATGTCTTTGCCATTGCATGTATTATTCCCTTCCTTTCCGTATTTATAAAGCCTGTCTTTTCATGTCTGATCTCATTTAACATCAGACGTTCAGGCAGTGTGATGTAGTGAGACAAGGACTAGAACTGGCTTCCTGGCTCTGACATTAATCATGGGCAAGTCATATAACCTCTGTGAGCTTCAGATTCCTCATCTGTAAAATGGGGATAAATAATATTTGCATTACTTACTTCATAGAGTTGTTGCGGGGAAGTGCTATGAAAACATAAGGTTTTGAATTTTTTAAAAAAATCACACCAAGATTATCATTGGGGAAGGGAAGAGAAAGAAAGAGGGATACATAATAATATCCTAATAGCTTCATAATTCAAATACCCCTGGTTTCATTGGTGTGAATACTTCCTCTATTATGCAGATTACAAGCTATCCATGACTCGATAGATGGTGTTCTGGAGTAGTCACAAAGAAGCACCTTACTCTGAATCCTAGTCTATGATGAGCCTATCTGTATGTAACTAGACTACTCCTCTAATGTTAGACATAAGGTCCATTTCTGGACCCCAAACTCAAACTCTACCAGCTTAATAGAAGATTCTAGAGCTTATGCTGGCATAGTGAAGAACCTAAGGTCACTCCCACTATTTAACTTTAATGGAAGAATCTATCTTAATACTGAGTTTTATATTGTATATGTTGAATTTGAGATGCTGACAAAACCATCCTGGTGGAGACGTTCAAAGGGCATTTGGTACTGTAGTAATTCAAGAGAGGGACTAGGGAAAGATATATAGATTTTGGAACCATCTTGGAACACACCCTAGCTCCAGATTCGGAGGAGGTGAGTTCAAATCTCAGCTCTGACAATTCCTACCTGTGTGACCCTGAGTAAGTAATTTACCTTCAATTTCCTCATCTGTGAAATGAGGGTATTGGATTAAATGGTCTCTGAGGTCCTTTCCCTTTCTAGAGTTGGGATGATCCTATGATTTACATCACCAAAGGAGAATATAGAAAGAGAAAATGCAGGAACTGGGCTAAGTGATTTTTAAGGTCCATTTTAGCTCTAAATCTATGATCCTACTACTCTATTTGTCATAATTGTCACTGCATGTTCCATCTCCCTACACCTGTGAAGAGTGAGAAATCATCTATTTATATTCTCTATGGAAAAAACATGGATTTTTAAAGTCAAAGGTCAAAAGCTGCACTGGGCTCTCTCGTACTTGCTCTTCCCAATTCCTACAACCATGACTTCATCTTTATTTTCCTCTCATTTCTCTCTCTCTCTCCACACACACACACACACACACACACGTAAGTATATTGTATGAATAATATATTGCACTTTCAGATAATTTACAAGTCAACAGTGCTTTGTAGATTCTGAGAAGTCTGTTACATAAATATAAAGGACTTTGTTCTAACCTGAGTCAACATAGCATAGCAGAAAAACTACTATACTATGAATCATCCTGAGACCTGAGTTTTAGACTTATCTCTGTCACTAACTAGCCATGTGACCTTGGTTAAGTCTCTTTAGCTCTCAAGGACTTCATTTATACATGTGCAAAATTAGATGGTTGGGTTAAATGGTACTCTCCAGCTCTAACATTCTATGAATCTATGAATAACAGCACACATCTAGAACCAAGTTATCTCCAGCAACCTGCTACTTCCAAACAATATAATGATAAGCTGATTCATTTCTCATTTAGGGGCCATTTCCAGTCGTCCCCATCTATATCTTGCCATTGGGACCAGATGATTCCAGAGGAGAAAGTGAGGCTGGTGACTTTGCACAGCCTTGTCTCACTTAAAACCAAATCACTTGCAAGTCATGGCATCATCTTCCTGATGTCATGGGCCTCTACAAGAATGAAGGATGAACAACATCTCTCATTTAGAAAGACACCTCTTTAAGCAGGTTCTAATAGGTTCCATAATCTTATTTCTCTTAATTTATAAAATATTTTATATGTATTATATTATTTATTTATTTTAATAGTTATAAAAATGTTTTAACAGAGGAATCCTGGTGTTGGGTAACGAGCCATAGATAGATTCAGAATTAGTAAATCCGAATTCTCTTCCTGAGCTGTGTTTTGACTCTTAGCTTTTCTGGGTCTCAGTCTCCTCATCAGTAAACTGAAAGTACTGAATTAGATCAAGGGTTCTTAACCTAGGGCCCATAAACTTTAAAAAAATATTTTGATAACTGTATTTTAAGACAGTTGGTTTCCTTTGTAATCCTATGTCTTTTATTTTATTTAAAAATATTATTCTGAAAAGGGGTTCATAGGCTTCACTAGACTGACAACCCCTCCCTCCCAACTCTCATCCACCCACCCACAAGCCATTATGTTATAAGCCCTTGGATTCAAAGCTCTCCAAGGTTTCTTTCTGTTCTAAAATCTGATGATGTCTTGATTATCAAACAAAGGAAGAAAGGTGTGAATGCAATGTATTTGGGACGAATTTGTTATCTTAAAGGTCTTATTAGTAATCACATCATAGGATAATATAGAATGGACAAATGATGATTTTTGTTGGTTAAAATCAGCCAAGAAAGATATGCTCAAAAAAAAAAACCCCAAAACTTGTCCTTAAAGAATTATGGGAGCAATTTGAAATCAGGCCGACCTTGCTTAATGCTATCTAGACTAGAGCAACCACCCAGAGTGTTCATCTTCTGTTCTTTGCTGCCCCCTCATGTTTCAACATGTACTTTAATTTTTTGCTCCTACCCTAGGCCAACACAAGGACGTCTTTCTGCTTTCTATAAAAGTACGTTCCTAAAATGTCATGTGTAATACTTAAAATACTAATAAATAATAATAACAGTGCTCTATCTTAAAACACACAAGGGAAGCTTAATATTTTAATACCTCTAATAATTTTTAGCCCCTAACAAAACTTTCTTTCAGATCCTTCATTCACTCTAAGTTACAGATGACTGAGCACATATAACAGTCTCACATTTTACCTCAGGAGAGAATTTAGGGGTGTGGCATGAGGGGCTCAATCTCTTAAGTCATAGCAGTGGGAAGCATTATTTGGGTTCCTACCTACAAAACAGAATGTTAGCCATACCCAGAACCACAGTAAATTCATAGCAATGGCAGTAGCAGGCCCCAGAGCTCCATAATGAACTGACTCCTTTTACAGGGCTAAGTCCAGTCTACCTGAGACCATGACAGAGAGAGAGAGACAGGAGCTGGAAGCTACTGTAGAATATCAATCTGTTTTCTCCTTGTCTATCATATATACCTTCAGTGAACACTGAGTCAGCAGCTAAGCTCTCCAGTGGAGATGAGTCTCCCCTTGCCTCCAGTAAAAGAACCATATGAGTAATTAATTCTTAACAACCACAGGGCCATGGATTTAGAGCCGGAAAGCACCTTTGAGGTCATCTAGTACAATCCTCCCATTTTAAAGATAAGAAAATTGAAGCCCACACCTATGAAGTAAATTAATGATGGCCACATAAGAAGGAAGTGGTAATCAAGAGAGTTGGGATTTGAACCCAGGTCCTTAAATTCCAAATTCAGCATTCTTTCTACTACACCATGCAATCTACACAATTATTTTTTAGCAAATTGGAGGGACCTCTTTATTTTGTCTCAAAAATATGTCCTTAATGCCTATAATTACTACTTCTCTTTAAAAACAAAACAAAACAAAAAACAAACAAAACCTTACTTAGACTTATTTTTATTTATGTTTGCTATAAACATAAAATTCTCATAAGTACAGTGAACTATGAATGTTATGATTTGAGATCTATAACATAGAGCAAAAGAATGCTGGTATTATTCCATAAAATTTTAGTAGCAAAAGAAATTAACAAGGACTTCAAAATGTGAGTACAGGAAAAGGCGTCTGATAAACCCATACATCGGTCAGAGACACATAGGAATGAAGGCTCTTACGTACTAATATCTACTTTGCAGATGATAAAATGATATTTCATAGGTGTACACTAAATGTCACCAACTTTAACTTTTTTTATAGTCTAAATTTCTTAACCTCTGAAGACTCAAACCCAGAACCACCTAAGAAGTTACCTTCTACTACTCGGATATCATCAAAACAGCAGGAAAGCACCAAGTACAGGGACGTTTGTCTTCTGACACACAAACTCTTTTGCTTATATGCTTTCTTTAAGCCAAAATCCCTCATAGTTCAATACATATGAATATACAATGACACCAAGACTGGACCTATCATTTTCGAGACTAATACTAATACGGTCTTTCAAAATACATCTGTTGGAAAGACAGCAGCAATCATGGCAACATGAAAGGAGAAAGAAAACTGAACATAAAAAGAATTTCATTGAACAAGGATTCCCAAATACCACCTTCTAAAAAAACCAACTTGAGCAGATCAAATAGTAAAATAATAATAATAATAATAAAGCAAGAAGAAAGTGGCTTTTTGCTTCTAATTTTCAAAAATTGCTGCATAATTCAAGTTTAACTTTTTTTTACACCAGATTTTCTATGTACCCTATATTATATCCAAAGAAATCAATCTTACCTGTTATAGTTGCCTTGTTGATGGATGGTTGGTTGCACATGGGTGATCTTCTGGCAGAAAGAATACAAAATTAAGGATTAAATATGTGGTAAAAGGCAATTTGTGTGTTCTCTGAGTCATTTCAATGATAGTATTTTAGTTTAAGAATTATTCTTAGGTTAGCATATACACACTGGGACTAGAATACATAGGCTCACTTAAATGATGCTTTCTCTTGTAATCAGTAAAGTTCCTTTTTGATTTCTTCACTGCAGTTCACGTTAGGCATGAGAGAATAGGAAAATATTAGGTCTTACATTGCTAGACATATGGGGAAAATCAAAAGCTACTGTACTTGTCATCTAAAGAGTTGGTAGAGGGAAAATTGTTATCATTGGCTTCATTCTATAATAAATGTTTGTTAAACTGTATTCAATTGAGGCAGAACCTAGAGAGAAAATCTAGAATTTCTATTTATATAAAAAAGGGAGCAGGCCACAGAGTGTTACTGTACTACTGAACTATACTGGTTAGTATAGTTACTAACTATACTAACCAATTTCCTTTTTTCTCTGTAAATTTTCACTGTTGCTTTGATATTAGTGTGTATTCATTCATTCAGTTATTAAACATCTATTAATGCCTACTGTGCACTTGATACTGTGCTAAGCCTGGAGGAGGTACATTTCAGGGTAGTTATTAAATATAATTCTAACTGGAACCACGGCTTGATGGAAGAGGCAGCGTCTCATAGTGGGTAGTTATTCTTAACTTTTTTTGTATCATAAGCCCTTCTGACATGCTGGTGAAGCCTATTAATGCCTTCTCTGAACAATGTTTTTAAATTCACAACATAAAATATGTAGAATAAGAAAGGAAACCAATTTTTGTTGTTGTTCAGAAGATTTTTAGCCATGTTTGACTCTTCATAACCCTGTTTGCAGTTTTCTTGGCAAAGATACTGGAGTGGTTTGTCATTTCCTTTTTCAGCTCATTTTATAGATGAGGAAACTGAGGCAAACAGGATTAAGTGGCTTGCCCAGGGTCACACAGCTAATAAGTATTTGAGGCCAGATTTGAACTCAGGAAGATGAGTCTTCCTGACTCCAGGCCTTGAGCCACCAAGCTATCCAATGAAATACTTACCAAAAATTTAAAATATTAAATTTTAAAATTTAAGATATTAAACTTAAATACATTAACATTTAAAAATAAAATTAAAGCTATTAATTAGAATTTAAAATATTTTAAAATATTTTGATTTGAAATACTTATCAAAGTATTTTTTAAAAAAATTTCATGTACTCCCAGTCAAGAACCCTTTACCTTAGATGACCTAAGCTCAAGTCCTGACTGGAACATACTGGTTTTGTGACCCTGGGCAGCTTTTCACCTTTTAGTGCCATGAACAACTTTCTAAGGTGACAAGTTGCAGAACAGTTGCCTATCTACATTGGAAAGAAGGCATTTCCTTAGTGGGATGCTCCTTGCACAGATGAAATACAGGTCCAAACTAACTGGAATCATAATACCTTGCACATAATGTAGACTACATTAAATACTTGCCTGCTGAACTGACTTGTATCAATATTTAAATGTGATATGTATTCATGTCATTTTATGTCTTTAAATTGGAAGGAGATGATAGTATCATGTGATGACTAATGTTGTCAATGGAGTTTTTTTCAAAAAGTGGTCTTCTTTTTCAAACATGATCATGGAAATCTTTTTTTTTTATTTCTCTCATCATCTGTAAAACTCTCTGGTGGCTTCCTCCTCTTGGTACCTCTTTGTGAAGCCTGCCTTAACTGTATGCTCTTTGGAAAGATGAATGATTTATTCTGGCTGGACTACTATGCACCATAGACTCATTCTGTGACTTTGCATAGGTCACAACTCTCAGAGCTTCTATTTCTTCATCTATAAAATAAAGGGGTTGGACCATATCAGGGGCTTTTAACTTTTTTGGGGGGTCACGGACCCCTTCGGCATTGGTGAAGCCTACAGGCCCTTTCTTAGAGTAATGTTTTGAATTTGTAAAATAAAACACACAGATTTGCAAAAGAAACAAGTTATATTGACATACAGTTATATAATAGGGCAGTTAGGTGGCACAGTGCAAAGAGGGCCAACCCTGGAGTCAGGAGGACCTGAGTTCAAATGCGGCCTCAGAAACTTACTAGCTGTGTGCCTGGGCAAGGCACTTCACCCTGTTTATCTCAGTTTCCTCAACTGTTAAATGAGCTGGAGAAAGAAAGGGTAAAGTGGTTCTTGTACCTTTGCCAATAAAAGGGGGGGGGATCATGAAGAGTTGGGGATATGACTGAAAATGACTAAAACAACAAACCATCTTTCTGTGACCATCTGAACTGATGCTAAAAGCAGGAATCTGATATGAAGACCGTATTAAATATGCTTTTGCATCCTATAACAGGCAAAGAAGGATGAGGTAGAGGAGAAAGAGCAAGGGACTTAGTGTCAGAAGACCAGGGTGTATCCTCCTGCACTGTGGGTAGGTCATTACTCTTACTGACCTCTATGGACTTCAGTCCCTTCATCCATAAAGCAGGAGTAACAATATATACACAGCCTAGCTCTACAGGGTTGGTAGGAGGAAAGCATTTGATAAAATATTAGAAGAGCTGTAACAAGAAAACAGAGCAACAGTGCAAGGATTTTTTACTCGGCCCTAGGTCCAGAGGATCTTTTCTCATAATTCATGTGAACCCTTATCTATAGAGTGCTATACTTCCTTTTAAGTTTTATTTGATTTAATTTTAATACAAATAAAAATTCTGTTAAGTATACCTCAACTTACTTCTGAGGATTTCTTTATTTTCATATGAAATAACAAATACTTCTAGTGGCAATCTATTTTTTAAATGGGGGGGGAAGTAATTTGGAAATCTGATTAATGGTAGCAAAGCATATTATGAACATTCAAATATTATACTTCTTCTACTGCTTTGAAATACATTTGACTGACACAAGAGGTGATGCATTGCCTTTAACTTATAGATAATAATAATAATAATAGTCATAAAACACTAATAGCTAACATTTTTAAAGAGATTTAAGGTCTGCAAAGCACTTTACATATATCATCTCATTTGATTCCTATGACTTTCTGGGGTAGGTGCTATAATTATCCTCATTTTACAGATGAAGAAACTGAGGCTGAGAGAAGTTAACTAACTTGCTCAGGGTCACAAAACTGGTATTTGAAGTAGGATTTGAAATCAGATCTTCTGGATTCCAAATCTGTCACTCTACCTGCTATATTACCTAAGTCAGGTCAACATTCCCTGCCTCCCAACCTAAGAATATTCTTTTACCACTTTGATTATTCAAAAGAATGGCTTTCCCAAAGAAAATTTACTAGACATATTTTTAAACTAGAATACACTAATTTTGAGTTATTAGTTTGTACTTGGGAAAATGGAATTATTAGCTACATGCTGTCTCTCTCTAAAATTAATTTCATATTCTCTCTCTTTAAAATAAAACTCATATCTGAGACCACAGGGAATGTGGGTACTTAATCACCTGATATTTCAACATTTCAGCATGCCACCGAAATTGAGCTTTTGAACCATGGTCACATATCTCTTTCTGGAAAATGAACGACAATAACAGAAAAATCTAACTTAGAGAGACTTCTCTCAGCCCAGGTTTGTACCCAAACCCAACACCAGACAACACTTATATTTTCTGTGAAAAAAAAATTAAGCATAAAAGATGTCACTACTAAGACAAGGAAAGAATAAAGAAAATAACAGAAAGAAAGCTAAGAAATCAACCTTAGTTCCATTTAATGTCATTTCTTTAGGTTTCCTGGACTTCCTTCCTGCATTCTCAGAAGTTGGATGAGACAAGGATGGCCATGACGAGTTCCCACTATCTGGGGAATCCAGGGGTGTAGTGGAAACATTTCAATGACGCACCTAATGGCTAACCTCTCTAGGCCTGACAGGTGGCATGGACAACTTTGAAACTCTGCCATGTGGTACGCCTGGCAATCCATCTCTGACACTCTGAGAGGCTGTGATTTCTTATCAGTCTAGAGAACAGATCTAGAACAGGTTGAGGGTAGTCCTTCCACAGCAAAACATAAAAGGCCAATCCAAGTATTGACCTGAAGTTTGCCTTAGAAACCAGCTTGGTTTCAAAAATAATCCAAAGAGGCTGAGGTCCACTGCATGGATAATCTTTGGCTTAGACTCAGAAGTGGCTGTGCCTTTCTATTTAAACTTTTATGTCTTTGTAAGCCAGATGGGGACTGACGTACCATCCAAACTTCTGCTGTATACAGTATGGGTATCCAAACATCCTTTAAAAAAAAAGCCTTAGCACCATCATGTCTCCATAACTGGATTTGTCTACCCATAAGCTTCTGTGGAATTTCAGAATCAGAAAGGAACTTAGAGACCATCTGGTCCAGGGATTCTTAAGGTGGGGTCCATGAATTGTCTTTTAAAAAATATATTTTCAAGATTGTATTTCAATATAATAGCTTTCTTTTAAAATATGGTGTATTTTATTTTTTTGGATTTAAAAACATTCTGAGAAGGAGTTCACAAGTGTCACTAGACTGCCAAAGGGGTGCATGCTACAAAAAAAATTTAGAACCTCTGATCTAATCCAACTTTCTTGTTTTACAGATGAAGAAACTGAGGTACAGAAAAGTTAATGAATTTGTCCAAGGTTATAAAGCTAGTCAACAGCTGAACTTAAACCAAGATCTTCATGTCTCCGACTATCTTCCCTAAACCAAATGACTGAAGCTAGCCTAAACGCATTTGTAAATTTCTTAATTACCATACTCTGTGATGAGTTTCTGTGACAGAATTTTTTTTTTAATTAAACATCATATTAGCATGCTTGTGTGCATCTAGGTGGGGCAATGGAAAAAATACCAGGTCTGGAGTCAGGAAGACTCATCTCCCTGAGTTCAAATCTGACCTCAGACATTAGCTGTGTGAACCTGGGGAAGTCACTTCACCCTTACCTGTAAAATGAAGTGGAGAAGGAAATGGCAAATCATCTCAGTATCTTTGCCAAGAAAATCCCAAATGGGGTCAAGAAGAGTTAGACACAACTGAAACAACTCAATGACAACAAAGCATTAGCGTTTAACAGAATTGAGGAGTTATTACTTTCTTGATTATAGTGAGGCTACAGAGAGTGCACTAATCTTATACTTTCAGTTAGCTTACAAGGATGGGCAGGGAACTCTCTTATTTCACAGATTTCAAACCTGTAAGTGGCCTCCAAAGCTATGGTATATGTGTGTTGATAATTATTAGAAGGCCTTCAAGTTCCATATACTGCTTTAACCATTGGTTGGCTAACATATCAATTACAAAGTATTCTTCGTCGTCCTTCTCCCTATCCATGGCATTTGAAGAATAAGCTATTTGCCCTGATGTCTTCTACAAGGACCTCACTTCTCTATCATAGAGAGGAATGTAACTATTGTAAAATGTGATAGTCAGGGTTAATTTTCATTCCTTTGTAAGAAAAAGGGGGTCATCTAAGTCAGAATACTTACCATTAGGAAGTAAGAAATAGCTCATATTGAAAGTATAATAATATTAATTATAAATCTGATGAACATTTAGCTTCCTATTCACCTTTTTTTGGTGAATCTGTAGAGATACATTCTTAATTAAAAAAAAAACAAACTTCCATTTGTGATTTTCTATTTCTTCTACTTTATCAATCTTTAAATAATGAGCCATTTTTCAAAATGTGCCTTTCAATCATATGAATTAAACTTGAACTCAGGCACACAAATTTTTTTATTTGATCCTAAAAAATTGGTCCTGCTTTTTAAGAACTTTATTGTCAATAGAAGATATCATTTCCAAAGGTCTCTCTGCAGTTTCTTTTCCCTTATAGTCCATGATAGAATATAAAGCTAGGATATAAATCATAATAAAAAAAAACTGCATGCATGCTTGCTCATCTGATTTTGAATTGACTCAAAGGCCCAAGGGATCAATTACTAATGGTTAATTTATAGCAAGTCAGAAATATAAAGTTACCCTGAGTTTAAATAACTGGGCAAAGGACAGGACAGGCCAAGTGACTGCTGACAGATGGAATCCCTGGGTTCAGAGGTCATATTGTTCCACTTCTGCCATAGAACCATCACTGCTAAGTATTTATAGAAAATGGAATGGCTGTCATATGACTTCATTTGAGGAGGTGGCTAATAATGGAACAATGCTGTGAAATCTAATCTTTTACCTTGGGTCCCATCAGACGAGGACAATATCCATTCAAAAGTACAATGAGAGGTTGGGGGAAGTACAACTTACTTGCTAGGTGCTCGGTCTTGTAAATTGGTTAATGCAGCAAAGTTATTCCGTACAGTACGCAGGCTAGCCAGGACCTACAATAGAGAAAGACAGTTGTATATTTTTAGTACCAGGGGCATAGTATAATTTAAAATGGCTTATTAGTGTGGGCCAAATGTGATTTTGCCATTGATCCAGTTTCAAATTATCCCAAATACTGAACCTGAGTCACAGGCACTGAAGCTACTACTCCCTGTTTGAAGTTGGCAATCAGTTGTTTTTCAGTCGTGCCCGACTCTTCATGAGCCCATTTGGGATTTTTCTTGGCAAAGATACTGGAGTGGTTTGCTATTTCCTTCTCCAGCTCATTTTACAGATGAGGAAACTGAGGCAAACAGGATTAAGTGCCTTGTCCAGGGTCACACAGCTAGTAAGTCTCTGAAGCCATATTTGAATTCAGGAGGATGAGTCTTCTTGACTCCAGGCCTGGTGCTCTACCCACTGCGCCACCCAGCTGCTCTACCATATATTCCACTGAGATACATTTAGGTCAGAATGTAAGGGCTTCATGTGGTTTGTTCTCAGTGGAACTGCTTCCACCATATTTCTGGGTTCCACATCTACCTAGCTACTACACAACAATAATACATGCTAGCAATGCCAATAAATGCTACTTACTGTCTCTGACCATGAGAGGCAGAATGGCAAAGCAGCTAGAGCTGGATCCAGGAAAATGAATTCCACCTCAGACACTCACTAGCTACACGTCCAAGGGCAAGCTATTTAATCTCTCTGAGTTTCAGTTTATTCATCTGTAAAAAAAACCTGTGAAAATAATTTTTAAAAATTTAAATAAAATAAAGAGGTGGAATCCAATAGCTTCTAACTCTAAATCAATGATTCAGTGATCAACATCCCTTCCTATAATTTTTCATTTGGGTATAAAGAGAATGGAAGTCACACTGGAATGAGAAACAAGGGTCAGATAGCCATCTTTTTCTACTTTCTCCCACAGGCCTTCCTCTGTGTGTCCCAATTTCCATAACAACTGGGTCCAGCTTAAGTGTGTCTTAAATGATCTGCATTCAAGAAAGAGACTTCTTAGCTTAAAAAATATAGCAGTGATAGTTGTAGTATTATCAAATTGGAATAATGATTAGTCATTTAAATTGATATTTTCCTTTATCATTTATTGGTGTGCCCATGGTGTGAGGGACACACAAATTTCCAAATGTCCAACAGGATCCCAGGAAGGCTCCATTTTCCTCCTATATTTTCAGAATCAGGAAAATGGGTTCCAATTCCAGCTGAGACCCTAATTAGCTACATGATCCAGGGAAAGAGTGGCAATGTGATTTAGACTCCACTGAAAGGAGCATGAAATCTTCAAGGTCACTAAGAAATTGCTTTCTTCATGGGCATGGTGTTGCAAAAGAGTTATCCTTTATGAAATTTGTAAGAGGCTTATAAAAGTGTCTATTTTATGGCCATGATTAATTTGGATACTTTCAAGAATTGGATGAACAAGTCAAAATATTGCCAACTCTGACCTGCTTGCTCCCTGAGCTGCAGTCCTTATATCACCCATGTCCTGCTACGCATTTCCACCTGGGTGTCCTAGCTGGCTACCCAACCTTAAAATACAGACAAATGAACTCATCAACTTCTTACCTAAACCTTCCCGTTTCCTGGCTTCTTTTCATTCATCTTGGCCATCTTGAGTCATCTTTGACGCTTAACTCTTTCTTGTATCCCAAGTCTTAGAAAACTACCTCCAGGCCAGCCCCTCTGCTCCACCTACATCATCCTCACTCTCTCTGCTTCCACTGTTAGCATCTGGTTCAAGTTCTCTTCACTTCTTGCTTGAATCATTAGAAAAGCTCCTAACCATTTGTGATCCCTTCAGTCTTTCCCTTTCCAATATAGTCTTTAAACAGTCGCCAAAATAATCCTTCTAAAATATAGGTCTGTCTACGCCACTCCTCTGTTCCAAAACCTTTTCGGTGGCTCCCTTCCTATTGGCTATAAAAAAAATATCAACTCCAAAGGCTGACATTTAATATTCTCCACAATCTGGCTCCAAAACACTTTTCCATAGCCTCATTTCATTGTGCTCCCTTTTACACATTTTATATTCCTTATATGCCCCCTCCCACCTTTATACATTTGGACAGGCTGTTTTCCAAGTCTGAAATGTATCTTCATCTCTCCCTATTGAAATCCTTATGTTTTTTAAGGTACAGATGTGCTATTACCGTTTCCATGGAGCCTTCCACTTTTCTCCAACCCCCAGCCGCACCCTGGCCTGCTCGCCCTCTCTATCCCCAATTGAAAATGGTCATTTTCTTTCTCCAGTCTTCCTAAGATACTATGTATCTGTTTCTTCCCCATTATATCATACCTTGTATTTTCGCACACATCACATCTAGCTCTTCATCCTCCTCAAAAAGTTACAAGCTCCTTAAGTGCAGCGACTGCTATTTTTCCCCCATTATATCTCCAGGGTTTAGCATGGTGTTTTCCATATGGTAGATGCTTAATAAATATTATTTATTCAATGAATAGGTACATTCAATGAATAGGTACATCCCAACCCTCAGAAACTGGCTTATAAGAGATAATTCAGATAACTAGTCACCTTCTGACATCCTAATGTATAGATCTGACCATATCACCCTCTTGCTCAATAATTTTTTTTTTTTTGGTGGCTCTCTATCTGCCTCTAGGATCAAATATAAAATTCTCCATTTGGCTTTCAAAGTCTATATAACCTGATATAACCTGATTCCTCCCTATAATTCCTGTCTTCTTATATCTTACATTCTTACTGCCTCCCCCCCCCCCCCCCCTCCAATTCATTGCCCCTGCCCCCTTGTCGTTCCTTGCACAAGACACTCCATGTTCTGACTCTGGGCATTTTCACTGGTTGTACCCCATACCTGGAATGTGTTCCTGTCTCATCTCTGCCTCCTGGCTTCCTTCAAGTCCCAGATAAAATCTCACCTTCTATAGGAAGCCTTTTCATATCCCTCTTAATTCTAGTGCTTTCCTACTGTTGATTATTTCCAATTTATCTTGTATATAGCTTGCTTAGAAACAATTATTTACATGTTGTCTTCCCATCAGACTGTGAACTCCTTGAGAGCGGAGACTGTCTTTTACCTTTCTTCCGTACACAGAACTTAGCAAAGTGCCAGTATATAATAGATGTTTAATAAATGTTTATTGACTGACTGAATCAGATAACCTCACTTCTTGGCTATGAAGCCTTGACTGTTGTAAAATTAATCCCTATAAGTTTTTCTGTATCATTAAAGCATATATTTTATCAAACAGCGAGTGAAGAGTTCAGAATATAACCAATGTACCCATCTCAAAGTTCTTTTTCTAGGCAAATATTATTGTCTTGATATACTTATAGTGCCTGACTAGCAAATAACTGCTAAGGGAACTTACATGACAACTGGATGAATAGTATAATAACAAGATTTTGTATTTGCGTAGTGCTTTGCAGCTAGAGTTCATTAAGTATGGGAGTAATGTCAAATTTGTGCTTTAGGAAAATCACTCTGGCATCTGAGTAGAGGATGGATTGGACATGAAAGAAACTTGACTCAGGTAGAACATTTAGGAGGACTGCTGTGATAGTCCAGGCCAGAGGTAATGAAGTTTTGGTCCCGAGTGGTAGTTATTTGAGTAGACAGAAAGGGATGAATGTGAGAGATGCTGTTGGGGGAGAAATGATAAGACTTGGAAACTGATTGCAAATGAGTCCTTCATGAGTACACATCATTAGAAGAGTAGGACAAGTGATTGCTTCTATCTCTGACTCTTGAGACAGAATAGGAAAACCCCAGCTAGGTTTGGGTTCCATTATGCTTTATTTCAAATGCTGCCTCTGATGCCTGTGCCCTTTGCCTGTGGCTAGACAAGGTCTCTCTCTTCCCTTGAATGAATCCCTACAGCATACACACGACAACTTCTCCCCTCCATTTTCCTTCAGCATCTAATGGCTGCTGACCAAAAGGGATCACTCAACTTTTCCTCAATGAAAATGAAGTTTGAAAAATTAAGGCCCTTTCCTTTCCATCTCTCCTTTCCAAGGAGTGATCAGAAGAAGTTTTTAGTGTCCTGGGAATAATGAGGCTGACAAACACATTAGGAAAGAAATATTCACAGTCATGGAGGATCTCTGCTCATAGATGGCTCATACTCCCATGGGGAATTGTTAAACACTATCATCATTTAACGGATATAGCTTGAAGCCTATTTTAGGTACAGAATCTTCTTTATTAATGACAGTAACAAAAATAAATTCCCTAAAAAAGGAGAACTGACCTTGGTTCCATTGAACAACTAAATAATTCTAGGCTCATTTTTTTAAAAAAAATTTTTTTGGTGAGGCAATTAGGGTTAAGTGACTTGCCCAGAGTCATACAGCTAGTAAGTGTTATGTGTCTGAGGCTAGGTTTGAACTTAGGTCCTCCTGACTACAGGGCTGGTGCTCTAGCCGCTGAGCCACCTAGCTGCCTCTAGGCTCATTTTATACAGCTTAATGGCATAGTGGATAGAGAGTTGAGTTTGAGTTAGGAAAACCTGGGTACAAATCCATCTTCAGATATTTACTGGCTGTCTGGCCCTGGGAAAGTCACTTCACCTCTGTCTTCCAAAGATTTTCTCATCTGTAAAATGGAGATATGAATAGCACCAATCTCACCAGGAAGTTTTGAGGATTAAATGACGTATCATAGATAGAATGATACATAAACTTTAAAGAGCCATGAATGTTATCTATAGTTATGATTATGTAAAGTGGAATTATTTTAGTAATACATCTTTAAAGACAAATTAATAAGAAGAATCTGATAGAAATACGGATGAAAATCTTTAAAAAATATATTGAAAAAGAAATATCATGCCATTGTAGTTCTTGAATAAAAATCACAGGAAAACAAGATTCAGATCATGCCTTTACAACTTATTGTCTATGTGACTGTGGGAATGTCCCACAACCCATGGTTTTGGGCAAGACACATAATCTCTCTTGGTCTCAGCTTCCCCATCTCTTAAGTTAGTAATCTGGAGCTAGGTGACT